AAAAAAAAAAAAAAAGGTCTTAATATACAATACTTTCAGTTATTAGATGCAGTTACCAAATATGATTTTGGAACTTTTTCTCACAGAGGAAAAGCCACAAACGCAAAGGCGTCCAGGGTCCACAGAGTCCCTAACACAGCCCTGCACCAGGTCCCAGAAGATGCGGGCCGACTGGACAGTCTTCTCCAAGGACGGACTCGGCTTCCTGTCCTGAGACAGCCCCGATCTCTCTAGAGTCAAGGTCAGTTTGTCCACCCTCGCAGAGGCCACTTGGATTCAAGGCTATGTTTTGTCCCATTCCGTTATTGATCTCAATGCTGCCAACGAACGTGCCAATAAGATGAAGAAATCCACGGGTCCGGGTCCGATTTGCTGACGCACATGCTGACACTCCACACCTTGAAATGGAAGCCCAGGGAAGGAGATCAGCGAGCTGACGGGGTGGGGCTCAGAAAAGACTGTAGGCTGAGGAAAGCCTCGATTCCTTGGCGGTTACATTCCCAGCCAAGGCGGTTCAAGAATTCGGGCTCCAAAGTCTAATCGCCGGACTAAATTCCAGGTCTACCACTTAGCTGTGCAGCCCCAGACAAGTTACTTAAGCTCTCTGTGGCTGCAAGGCTCGTCTGTAAACCGCGGACAAACAGCACCTGCCTCCAGCGGGCAGCCAGATTCCAGAAGCCGCACATACACGCAGTGCCAGGCACACAGCAGGAGCACACGGAGTCAGCTCTCAGCTGCTCCCACTTCCCGCCCCTCCTACCCCCGGCTCGGGGAAGTGCTCACGTGGCACCCCCTACGCTCAGTAGGACGAGAGCATCGTCACGTTATTACCCAGTTCTTCCCATATGTTCTCTTATAGGTGACAGAAGCAATCCGCAGGAGAACATTCCAGATGTAGAACTCCAGCTAGAGATGGAATCTGCCCTCGGAACAAAAATACTAGGCTGCATTTTTTTTTTCGGCCTGAGAGTGAGGTTCAGAATAATATTTATTATGCAACCACTTATGTATGCAGCTCCGTGGGCTGCAGTGCAAAGGTCAGTCTAAGAAATGGTTCTTAGCAGCCCAGATCACATAACTGGAAAAGGCTTCAGGCTCAGAGGCTCCCGGAGACGTTCCCCTAAGGATTAGCCACTCTCTATATAGCATCCCGGGCAATGGTTCAACACCGAAACAGGGAATTCACCCATTATATATGGAAAGGAAAGCTTTTCCAAAGTGGGGGAGACACCGGAGGACCTGAAGCGTGAGAACTCCCATCCCGCGTAGTGGACTGCCACACCGCTCGACCTCATGCACCTGGAGGGGGGCTGGAGAGGAGAAAGGCCAGTAGAATGAGAGGCAATGGACGAGCTGCCCCATTTTACAGACAGCAAACTCGAGGCCCAGCTGGACCACCATGTGGTCTACAGGAGCACACACAACCTCCGTGCCATCATCAGAGACGCTTCACAATTGGCGTGGGGTCCCCACGCTGTTCTCTGACGCAGCCTTACTGAGTGGCCCAGGAGGGCAGCTGGAAGCAGACATTCCAGAAGATAGGGCTTTACTTATACCTGCATTCTGCATTCTAGACTACGCATTAATACCCTAGTTTTAAATTTTAATTCTGGCCTAGACTTTTTTCCCCCAGTGTAATCTCGCTGGATTGTAGCACTGATGCCCTTACTCCATGAAGGTCATGGACCCTTGGGTCCGACGGATCAGATCCTTACTCTCATGAAACCCCATCTTCCCCTAGCGCGATGCTCTGACCTCAGTGCTCCAAAGGACAGTTGGTGATTCCTGATCTATGGAAGACCTTAAAGCATTCAAGAAAATAGGCCCCCCAGATCCAAAAGCAACCCCCTACTCCCTCTTGCTTAGAATATGAGGCTCTGTCCTTAACGCAGGCCTGGTGAGAAAAGGGAATTTCCCCAGAAATACACCACATCTTCACAACAGATTAAGGTCTCCTTCCTTTCTTCTTGTCTTTCCCCCACCCTGAAGAAAACCTAGCCATTTTCCAACCTTCTCTTTAGTCTACCTCCTGACTATTTGGAAATCTAAGAGCTGGGAACACCGCAAGGAAGCATCCAATCTGACCCTAAATCTATCATTCCCTCCAGTGGATTCACCTCCTTCAAACAGGTGATAGCATTCCAGGCCCTGTAAGACTGGATTCTGAGTAATGGGCCGGGGTGACGCGGGTTGCTTTCCTGGTTCCATTCTAGCTGGGCACAGACCTCACATGGCTCCCTTTGTTGGTCTCTCCCCAAATGCACTTAATCTTGACACGTGTTGAGCAAAAGAATGAACACTAACTTACCATCTTCCTCTTTCCTCCTGGACAGCTTCTCCATGAACATCCAGGGCAGAGGACAATTCACTAGCAAGCTCAAATGGGCAAAGAATTGCAGGAGTCAAGAGACCTGAATGCCAGGCCTGGCTTTGCTGTTTATGATTCACCCATGACTGTAGCCAAACCCTCTAACCTCTCTGAGCTCCAACTCCTCAAGAGTGACAAATGCAAATAATAATCCTACTAAATTGAAGGTTGCTACCGGATACAGGATGATCGCTACTTAAACTGGATACAGTGTTGTTAGCATTTGCCCAACATGGGAGAAGCAAACTCCAGAAGAAATGTGCAGATGATCTAACGGGTAAATGAAAGATGTATTTGCTAGGCAGAGGGGAAGGGTGGGTGATAGCTGATCTGTAGAATGGCCACGCACATGGGGGGAAAATGAGTTACAAGAAAGTTCTAGAATACTATTTGCATGTTTCTTCTAAAGCCTGATTTTGTTGATTATATGAATTCTGTATGTCGCTAAACAGCATCGTTGTCCACCATTTGATGGAAGTCCTTGGGCGAGTGTGGATTTGCCTAAATTACTTTAACTTTACAGAATCTATGGGAAGGAAGAAAAGGGAGGGAGCAAGGGAAGGAGAGAGGGAGGGAGAGAAGACATGGAAGGAGGGAGGGGAGGTGGCTCATAACTGCCTTGCATGCACAGGGCAGACAGGGCTCACAGACAAATTCACCAACATACAGGGGAAACAGCTTTTGTTTCAGAGAATTTGAAGCCGTTCCCTTTGGATGGCTGATTGTGGCCACTATGTGTAATAATGCAGGCCACCAAGGCTGGGGTGGATAATCCAGGCCATGCTGGGAGGTGGGGAGGGAGGCAGAAGTTAACAATGGGTACAGAAGAAAGGGGAGCTTGTTATTTTTCAGCTGAGGTCCTTTGTCTCTCTGGGTAAGTGACACTGTTTATGTGTTTCCCTCCACCCTTTTGCCTAAAGGTCAGAGGCAGCAGGCGGCAGCCGTGTGTGCATGGACAGCTGCTGCGTGCGGGGCACATTCCAGCTTCGCGAATGATGTTCTCCTGGTCAGCCCATCTACCTCCTGCTGACACCCAGCTTCCTTCCAAACTCCCTTCCCATTCTCTCCCCACCCTCTAAGGCCCTGCTCCCTGCATGGCTGCCTGCAAAGCAAATCTGAGGTCTCAGACACTACCACCTTCTGGGAGAAACCCCTTTGGCAACAGACCGGTAGCTCCTCAGCACAGCTTTAGAACAAAAGGAACTCCCTTGTGGTAGGAAACAGCTCCGAGCAGACTCTTCGGATGTTCTAGATCCACAGGTCATCCAGGTTATGGCACACAAGTGCAGGACCTGGCCATTCTCAGCTGGGGACCATCTCCCTGCACCCGCAACTGCCTCAGGCTTATC